GACATCGACACCTGCCACGCCGCTTTTGGCCTACATGAGTCTGCTGAGCACGGGGAGGCCTCCTTGCTAAGCATGTACTCCCTCATCGTCGTAGACGAGCTCTCGCAGCTGGATATGGTCAACTTCGAGAAGATCCTGAAGCTCTGGGCAGCTGCAGGTCGCGTGCCGGCACTAGCGCTGCTGGGCGACCGGTACCAGATGGCCGGCATGGGAGAACAGCGGCCCTGGCATGGGCGCCTCTGGAACATATTGTGCTATCGGGTGGCTTTGCACAAGATGTACCGGTGCAAGGACAAGGTGCACGCCAAGCTCCTGGCAGTACTCAGGACTGGCAAGCCGAGCGCGAAGCTCCTCCGACAGCTCCGTAGGAAGATGGCGTGGAGACCTCCGGGCCCACCCACCGTGAAGGGACTCCGGCAGCTTCTGAAATCGAAGCCCTATACGACCATCCTCACCTGCACCAGGCGGGGTGCTGCTATAGTCAATGGAGCTGCTTTGAAGGCCCTCTTCCCTCACTATCCTCCGCTGGCAACATTGCCGGCTGACGTGGACTCCAACCCCGAGAACTATGTGCGGGGCAAGCTGAAGCCGGCCGGCGAGCTGCAGCCCTCCGCCATGCCCGTCTACAAGGGCATGAAGGTGTACTTGACGCGCAACGTGCGGAAAGACGTCGACTTCGTCAACGGCATGGAGGCGACGGTCCTGAAGTACGACGACGGCACGGGCGGCCTCCTGGTGCGCACCACCACCGGCTTCGTGGTCAGCATTTGGCCTTGGACCGACCCGGACAGAGGTGGCTTGGTCTACTACCCCGTCCGGCCTGGCTACGCGTCCACCATCCTGAAGTTTCAAGGGGCAGAGCTGCCTCATGTCGTCGTCTACTTGGATGCCCCGAAGGTTCCTGCCGCAGCCTACACGGCCATCAGCAGGGTCGGCTACTACAAGGACTTCCTGCTGGCGGGCATCTTCACGGAGCATCATTTCACGCCGGCGAAGTGACGGGATTAGCTACAGTCGTTTCACCTTGGCAGGCACTACGTGTACAGGTAGCCTCACAGGTAGCCCACAACATATTTCAAGGGTTTCCATTCGGAGCCACTGGTGGGGCGCGAGCAGTACACTGTGCAGGCAGCGCAGAGCACGGTGCATGCTCATTGCAGCTGCGGGCTTCAGCTTCCCACAACAGACGGCGTCGCAGGTGCCAAAACAAGCTTGCCAGCACCCGCCCCTGCGCCGTATATCACAAGTGACTTGACGCATGTGTGTTGATGCCGCCCAAAGATGAACGGCATGGTTGGACGAGCCTCGCAGTCGTCTCTCTCGGGCAATCTTGGCTCTAAGCGAAAACGAGTTGACGGCGCCACCTACAGTTTTACATGCTTTGGCACACGCTTTGGCACACGTGCAACAACCAGCTGCATTAGTTCTCAAATACCTTTTCTCATGCGGCTTGTAGGGCCTGTATAGGGTGTGGCGCTACGTGCGCAGACACTTGCCATGAAGTTGACCGAAAAGACCGGGCGGCTGCTATGCTGGTACCTGCCCGATTGGGTTGATGGCTTGTCGATGCTGAACTGGCTGGGCACCTGCAGACAAGCCCACCTCTGTCAGCACGGCACCTCTTGGTCGGCCAAACTGCAGGCAACCATGGGCTTCGCCAAAGGCCTGGCGGCATACATGCGCAAGCACCGTGTCATGCCCTCCGACGACGACTATCTGGAAACTGTGCTGCGGCTTCTGCATGACGACAGGCTGCCCCTGACACTGCCTTCCCCAGGGGGCCCTGTCGTTATCAATAACGCCCACATTGGAGAGTTCCGCGATCACATTGCCCTGTAC